ACATTCTTCATTTTCTCTCATTAGTGTGGTTGCAACTTGCATAAAAAGTTGGCCACTCCCTGCAGTGCGCTAATGTGATAAGCCTTCAGTATTGATATCACAGAATGGTGGATGTTGGAAGGCACCTCTGGAAGTTACCTTGTCCAACTCCTATGCTCAAGCAGGGACACCTAGGGCTGCTTGCCCAGGACCATGTCCAAATAGCTTTTGAGTATCTCCAAGGATGGAGACTTAGTATTCAAAAAACGCATAGACGTGGCACTTTAGTATATGGTTTAGTGGGCATGGTGGTGTTGGGTTGATGATTGTACTTGATGATCTTAAAGGTCTTTTCCAACCTTAATGATTCTGTGATTCACAGCATCCCTAGGCAACCTGCGCCAGTGCTCTCTCAGTGAAAAAGTGTTTCCTGCTGTTCAGAGGCAGCCTCCTTTGTTTCAGTTTGTGCCCATTGGGTCTGGTCCTGTCACTCGGCACCACTGGATAGAGCCTGGCTTTGTCCTCTACACACGCTCCCTTCAGGTATTTATATATATCGATGAGACCCCTCTGAGCCTTCTCTTCTCCAGGCTGCACAGTCCCAGCTCTCTCAGCCTTTCCTCTTGGGAGGGATGCTTCAGCCCCTCAGTCATCTTAGTGGCCCTTTACTGGAGTATCTCCAGTATGACTGTGTCTCTCTTGTACCGGGGGACTTGGCACTAGACACAGCGCTCCAGGTTTGGCCTCGCCAGTGCTGAGTTGAGGGGAAGGATCACCTCCCTTGATCTGCTGGCAATGCTTTGCCTACTGCAGCTCCGAGTACTGTTAGCCTTCTCTGCAGCAACGGCACATTGCTGGCTCATGTTCAACTTGGTGTCCACCAGGGCTCCCAGGTCCTTTTCCACCAAGCTGCGTTCCAGCTGGGTGCCATCTTTGTGACGTGTTCGGTTGTCAGCTGGGATCTTGGGACTCTGCATTGAGAAGTTGAAGCATCCCAGTTGCTGGTTAAGCAGTTTTAGTCTATGTTCTGGAGATGGGGAACAGTATTTTGAATGAAATGCACAGGGTGTTCGTGGACATTTTTTGGAATGCCTACAAGATGTGTATTAGCATCTGGTAATTTTAATACCCAATAAGGACAAAAATATATTCTTTGGAAGAGTAGCTCTAATGGAAAGAGAAAATTAAAATGTTTCTTTCATCATTTTATAATTGGAAATCAATCTAAGAGTATAAATTAAAGAGAAACTTTCATTAAGATGTTTTTGTCCTCACAATTCACAATGAAGCAGAACTTTCCCATGCACATCAGCAATTTTTTGTATTTGATCAGAAGGGTCGCTGGGTGACCGGTATCCAGTCATCCCTGCCAGTCATGTTTTTGTTCTCAGTAAAATTCATCAACTTAGCCAATAGGTAAGTCCTTTCAAGTCCCAGAAAGAGATAAGAACCTGTAGAATTTTGAATCTTGCCACCAGCCTTAATGAATGCATGACTGCAAAGATCTGTCATCTTTTTTCATTGATCTTGCTGACATGAATTCATGTTGATCAGGCAGATTTTTATATTACCAGATCAATAAATGCCCACATCCAGGATTTCTGTATGGCATATACTTCAGGAAACCAAGTAAACCAAGTCTTTCCTGGTGCTTTTGATCACGTACAGGTTTTTTTTAATGCTTAAATTAACATTGGATAACAATTTATTGCACTTGTTTGAGCATTCGGTAACGCACACATCCTAACCTTGCAGATGCACCAAGTATATTGCAAAGCTGTTGTTACAGTAATGGCTCTAATAAGGTTGCCTGTTTTTCACTTCAGTTTGCTTTTGCTGCACAAACACCAGCTGTTATAACCCGGGCGACTGAAGACATGCACAATATCGGTGCAATTGGACATAAATACAAGGCTGCGGGTGGTCAGTAATATTCTGGTATTCTTGAACAAATCCAATCCCCTGCAGTCTCAGTACAATAACACGGGAATACAGTGCAGTACCAATTTTTTGTATAAAACTGGTCAAAACAGAAGCAATGTTTTGAATGATCCTGCAGCCAGTAGAAAAGTCCATGTTTGCTTTCACTTATAGATGGCTTGCAAGGGTTTGGTGTGGTTCCAGTTTCACTTGATTTCACTGGCATGGTTCCAGTTTCACTTGCCTGGTGCACATCACTAGTGCTGGATCCATGTTGTTTTCTCTGAGGCACTCTCAATGATATGGAGGTGCCTCAACTGCACTTTGCATTTGTTGCCAGTGCTGAAAAGGGAAATTTTCTGCATATGTTGCCTAGTTTAATTTCTGCAGTTTAAGTCTGAACAGGTCCTCAGCCAAATTCATCCATAGCCAGTCTTTCACTCTCTAGCAGCCTAAGGTCACCTTTCTCCATGCCTTCTGAAACACCAGTCGTGTCTTCTTTCCTGCTGCGCTGTGCTTGCCTCTTTCACCATGATGTCTCTGCTTCTGTGTCCAGCACAGCACCTTTTCAGTCAGTCCCATCTGCTTTGTTTGGGGTGAAATGCATGTTTTCTGGACTTAGACTTGTAGCAGCCATTTCCCTTGAGTGAGTGACATTAGCTCCTGCTCTTCCTTGTGCTGATGTAAAAATCCTGGTGCCAAATGAGCAGCATAAAATGGGGCTTCCTGTGGTTCTGAACCCACAGTCGTCTTCCCCACCACCGGTTCAGCCTTTCACTAGGAAAGCACGTCCCTCCTTCTTAGAAGGGAGAGGCTCTCTCTATTACAACCAGCCAGTCAAAAGAGGTGATGATCCCGCTGTGTTTGGTGTTAGCGCAGCCTTACCTTGAGCACTGTGTGCAGGTCTGGGCCCCACCATTTAAGAAGGATGTGAAGGTCCTTGAATGCGCCCAGAGGAGGGCAACAACGCTGGTGAAAGGGCTGGAAGGAATGTCCTATCAGGAGCGGCTGAGGACTTTGGGCTTGTCTAATTTGGAGAAAAGGAGGCTGAGGAGCAACCTCATGGCTCTCTACAGCTTCCTGAGGAGAGGATGTGGAGAGGGAGGTGCTGACCTCTTCTCCCTGGGATCCAGGGACAGGATGTGTGAATGGTTCAAAGCTGCATCAGAGGAGGTTTAGACAGGACATTAGGAAGCATTTCTTTACCAAGAGGGTGATCGATGCCCCAAGCCTGTCAGTGTTTGAGAGGCATTTGGACAATGCCCTTAATAACATGCTGTAGCTTTTGGTCGGCCCTGCAGTGGTCAGGCAGTTGGACTAGATGATCATTGTAGGTCCTTCCCAACTGAAATAGTCCTGTGCTATTCTATTCTATTCCTCTTCTATTCCTCGTGAAGGCAGTATCCCTCCTTTGGCAGGAGACAGTGATGGATTTGCTGTCACTGAAGCAGCGGCATCCGTAACGCTGGTGGGACATGGAACACTTCCTGGTAGTTTTGTCTGTATTGCTGAAAATGACCTTGCATGTGTGTCAGCAGCCCAGGACCAAGCTGGGTGGCACCGCTACCTCCGCTGATACCAATGATGTGCAGTGTTTGACAACACCTTTGCTGGGCTCTTCTGTTCCGACTAAACCAAGTATTGGACTGGAGGCATCTTAGCAGATGCAGTTCCTTGGCTTGTGTTTCACAGGAGGTCATTCTGAGTGGTAGAAAAGCCCTTTTGGCTTTAAAACTTGTGGCTCTACAAGCTTTTCCATCATCTAACTATAACTCAGGAATTGCTCTTGGCTCTCATGAGCACAGAGAGATTGCTTCAAAAGGGAGAGACTTGGATGTGTGGGATGGGAGCACGGGGCTTTGCCACAGTTCCAGCATGTCCATGCCCTAGGTCTTTTTCCTAATTCCATTTCTGTGTATTAACATAGAGTTTTCCTGGTTTGTGTTTTGTCTGGTTGGGAAAAATTTACCTTCTATAGGGTAATTACTCAAGTTTCTTTTCTATTTGTTGCTTCTTATATCATGGGGGTGTGCAGCTTAGTCATAACCAGACAGGCATCCCATGCTCTGAACCGCCCAACCAGGCCAGGGCAGCACTACCTTGCACAAGCTGCTGGTCCTTACTCAAGTGCTTTGGGTGGTATTTAGCCAGGATGAGACATCCAGACTAATCAACTCGGTTCTGTACCTAGCTTTTGACAGCTAATGCAATTTTAATGCTCATGAGAGTATGAGTATCTGGTGAGGACAGGTCTAGTTCTAGTGTTTTAGTATTTTTAGCAATGAAGAGTTGCCTGAAGTGCATGAGAGTCTACAGAAATAGCTCATGCAAAGCCTTCTGTCGTCCTCAACTGGAGATAAAATGTTCAAAAAAATTGAAGTAACCAAGATCAATCCATGGCTAAGCTGTCCATGGTAGATACATACTAAAACAAAAGATGAAGTCCTTTTAGGTTGTGGGGATCCATTTCTCATCCCCAGAGAATCCATTGTGAGCATTTACAGATCTCAGGAGACAATTTGATAAAGGCATGATATTCTCCTATAATAGTTAAGCTTAGCTTGGTTTAACACAGTTGCTATTATGTTTTACAATTTTCTGCATTTATATTGTTTAACTATAAGATACAAATCAACAAAACCCCCCACATACTTGGGCTTATTTTAATTTTGTCTTGCTTAGATACTATCTCTGAACGTTGTGTGAAATGTCTTCAATCCTCTGCAGGGTTGTCATAAACTGAACAGATTTTTTTTTTTTTTTTAGTCTTATTGTGCATGCTCATGTCTCACTATGCCTGCAGCCTTCTGGAGAGCTAAAGTTTTTGAGATGTGGATTCATCTAGGTTCAGGCATCTAAAATGTAACGTCAGGTCTAAGCTGGTCAGCTAGATTCCTCTGGTGGTGAATGGAGTGGAGGAGAGGTGTGTATAGGGGCAAGTCTTCCATTCCTAAAATTGATCAAGATCAATTCCATCTTTCCTTTCAAATGCATGTTGCTGCTAATGTATTTTATTGTATTCAAGGGATCTCTTTATGCTCTCTGCATTTTTCTTTCTTCTTGTAGCTTGATAGTAACACATACTCTTTTTCTCTTTCCAGGGTGACTGTTGGATCTGTATGGAGCTCATGTCTACCTCGTTTGATAAGTTTTACAAATATGTATATAGTGTATTAGATGATGTTATTCCAGAAGAAATCCTAGGCAAAATCACTTTAGCTGTGAGTATTTTTGTGTGTGTTTTTGAAGCTAATGTGAAAAATTCAGATCTCTTTCACTCACTTGTGAGAAAGCTGGTTGATTTGTGTGCAGAACTGCTGCTGTTGTATTTCACCATGGTTTTAATGATCCTTGAGTATATTCTGACTTTCCCATAGTATATTGCACGATGGAAAAGCAGATCTCTGGGTCTGTAATCAGTTTATAAAGAGACCCCAGGACCAGCCTCCTTCTCTGTCAGCTTGGACATCAGCACCGACAGTGTAGGCACCAGCCCCCTCCTCGAGGATTGCTTCATGTGCACGGGTGGTGGCACCAGTGGAAGCTGGGCACAGGTTGTCTCATCCCAAGGAAGGTGCCTAAAACAGATGAGCTGCTTCCCCTTCCCTTGTTTGTAAAGGGAACAAGGGATACAAGCTCCTCTGTACAGGAGCTGAGTTCCCGTTTCGTGGTGCCTTTAGGTGGTGAAGTGAGATGAATCCCACACAAGGTATCTGAGTGCAGCCCTGCTATGTGGAGCCCACTGTCTCCCTTTAAGGAACCCTGTAAATTATCCTTGGCTGTGCCAAAATGAACTCTTCATTGTCTAAATGCAAGGACAAGTTTTGGCCCTGCAAAGCAAACTTTTGGTTTTGGGCTGTGGAGGAAGCGGTGTTGAAAGGTATCCCAAAATCTCTGTCGTGCTGCTGCCCTAAGATCTGGCAGGTCCGTTGGCTTTCTGCAGGGGACTCTGGGCCACTGCAGTCCAGAGAAGCCTCTAGTAGCCGTGTGGAAAGGCTCCCAAAAGGCTCTTTATAAAATGTTGAGCCTACCTGGATCTGCTGCCTCTTCTGACAGCTAACAGACTGCCTTGACAGCTCAGGCACTGCCACATATTTAGATGATTATAGCCAAGACTGCAAATCCTATCAAAGGCAGCCAGTGGCTGTTCTGTAGCCCATGGGATGCATTGTCTTACCACCAACCAACTGAATCTGTTACCGGCCAAAGCAAGGCTTGAGGCATAGACAAGTGATGGCTGGGTAAGGTCTATCTTTCTAGGGTAGTCTGCTTGGAGTTATATGTAATTCTGTGGAGGGAAGAAAAGGAGATCCTTTCTTTCTTCTAGGGTTTGCAGTGTGTTGGAGACACGCTGGCCCACATTTTGGCTCAGATAGACCTTACAAGGTGTTTACCCAATGAAGATAATTTGGGCAGAGACTTGAGATGATTTTTTAAGCCCTCAAAGGCAATTTCTGTACTTACCCTGTGCAGACATCATGCTGTGAAAGTGCACCAAAGCTTTAACTTCTAGCCAGGGAAATGAGCACCTCGGATGTTTCTGACCTGGGGGTGAGGAGTGGACTGAGTAAACTAAAATTTTCCATACCTGATCCATGACACACAACAGATGTGGGCATGTGAAGCCCAGCTGTGCTGTGCAGGAGGTCGTGGACTGCTTGTTGAACACTGCTCTCCTTCCTTCACATTGCACCTGAAGGCAGACCAGCCCCAGCAGCTCCAGAGAGAGGTCCTCTGCACAGACTGGCTTTAGGAACTGAGACAGGTTCTGACTAGAACTTGTGGTCTGAGATTTGTTTCTGTCCACCTTTCTCTAGAAAACAAATGAGGAACAGCATTTAATAACTCTGGTATGAGAATACTGGCCCTGAGTACCTTAGACCTTGAGGGCCTTCAGGTCCGGTAGGTCTACATGCACGCTGCCCTGGTAGCCTCATCATGTGCAGGTGGGGTACGTGCTGCAGCTCACAGCTTGGTGTGCTCCGCCAACCACCCTTCATTTCGTGTCGGCGCTCTTTTTACCCCGGGTTGAAGATCTGTGAGCTTCTGCTTCACCTGCTTGAGGGTGGGGGCAGAAGCTTCTGGCAGGGTCAACTCAGATTTAAACCAACATTCAGCCACTAAGTCCAGCAGGCTTTCTTTTGCTGAAGCTCAGGTCCAAGGAGGCCATCTGGTCTCATTCCACTATGGGCCTGCCTAAAAATCAGCTTTGCTGTTCAGACATGTACAGCTTCTGCTGCCGGAGCAGCAACCTGCAGTGGAGGAGCAAGGTGGGCAGCAAGGAGGAGACAGCACTTCAGCTGCCCCAGAGCCTGCGAGAGCTTTTAACTACCTTAACACTTTTAACTTTTAACTACCTAAACACTTGAACACAGGGTTGTGTGAGCAGCAAGGTCCAGTCTTTTAGGAGTTGTTCCTTGGTGCTAGACTTCATCCTTACAGTCACACAGCTTCAGAGTGCTTTGCAGCGCAACACAAACACCCTCTTACCATCATCTTCAAGGCAGTCTCTTGGACATTGGTTTCAATGATCTTTTCAGTAGAAGTGAAATGAACTAAAATGGTGAACTTTCAGGGTTTTTTCTGAAATCAGACTCCGTAAGTGTCTCTTCCCTTTAATGGTGAATGGTTAAATCACCTCTGCTTGCTGCTCAGCCAGTGGAATGGGAACAGTCGTTGCCTACTGAAAAAGTACAGTATGGGGCTTGAAATCAACATCAGAAATTGCTTGACTTCACTTCTCGGTCCTCTCTCCCAGAGTGTGATCTTTCCAGGTTACAACAAGTGGTATGTATTTACTTAAGCACATACCCTCTCTTATATCTCTTTCTGTTTGCAATAAAGATTGGGAGAAAAATGCTCTTGTTACATAGCGTATTGCAGCATTGATATCTTAACATACTAAATGGTTTTTTTCCCCCCTTCTTGGAGATCCAAAAGTTTAATAATCACAAGAATCTTAGAACATTTGCTTATTTTTCATCTGTTTTTCTTTCCTAGACTGTGAAAGCACTAAACCACTTAAAAGAAAACTTGAAAATCATTCACAGAGGTGAGTTCATGTCTTTTCTTCATGTCTACAAAAATGATTGCAAGGATTTTAAGTGGCCTTTGCTTCAGGTCAAAGTGTAATTAGCATGTGTATTACCGTGAGTGTGAGTACAGGTTTTGCACAAGTGTGTCTCCAGTGGCTGTTTCATTGCTTCTTCATTCAGTGGTTTTCGATAAAAGCATGACTTCAAGGTGGTTGGGTGTCTGGTTCTGCCTCTGGGCACGTGGCATCTTTGGGGCTGGCTCCATCTGCTCAGGATCCTCAGCGGTGGTGAGCACATCCACTTGCCGCCTGCCCGCCCCATGCCAAGGGACACAGCGATTGCACGGCGCTGTCGGTGTCACTTCTCTGCAGCTGCTGTTCCTGAAATTGAAATTCCAGCCATTGAGTTACCAGTTTAAATTTCTTTCCCTTGCAGACATCAAACCTTCCAATATTCTTCTGGACAGAAATGGAAATATTAAACTCTGTGACTTTGGCATTAGTGGACAGCTTGTGGACTCCATTGCCAAAACGCGGGATGCAGGGTGCCGGCCGTACATGGCGGTGAGTGGGGATGAGCACGCAGCAGGGAGCTGGCGTGCCCGTGGGCTGTGCAGGACCTCATCTTCCCTCTGCAGACCTGCTCAGCATGGCCGTGCCTGTCTTCTGGCTGAAGTGTCAGCCTGTTTCCCATGGGATGAGTACCCCTTCCCAGATGAAACCAAGCTGTGGATCGAGTGCTGCTGCTGCTGCAGTGCCAGCAAAGGTGTCCAGGCTGTGGCAAAGTGACCAAATTAGCTTTTTTTTTAATCTGGGTTCCTCTGCTGGTGCTGGAGCAGAGCTTCTCTGTGCCTTCCAGCAGCACCTGCTCACACTCCAAAACAAACAGTGAATTGGAGGAAGCAGTGCCATCTGGGTGTGGGGTTTTCTTGGTCTGCAAGAAATCCATTTGCCATGGTAAGATTATGTCACAGGAGTTACTGCTGAGCAGAATTATAGTGATTTTGCAAACCACTTTAATTCCAAAGCATGCCATAACTTAATTCCAGGAGAATGTGGTTCTGGAGAGCAGTGGTAGCAGAGCAGCTGTGTGGCCATTGCTGGGGCTGAGCCCTGGCTCCGGGGAGTCTGTCCTGGTTGGTTGTTTCCCTCCCTCTCCCAGGGAGAAAAGTTGTGGTGGTCATTTTCGAAGTTGTCTGAGGGTTTTAAACGCTTCTGTGCATCGGGCTGCTTTGAAAAGCATCTCTTGGTTTCATGTAAGCTGAGGGTGCCTGCATGGGGAGCTGTGTGTCTGCTGCTGTCAATGTAACTTTTATTTCAGTGGCTGTGTTTAATTCTCATTACTTACCTTATGGCTTTATATACTAAAATATACTGGGTTTTGAACTCTCTTATCTACCACCAAGGAAACAAAAAAGGAAAATCTCTCTCTTAAAGGTACAGTGCCCATCTGGTCTAGGTAACAGCTCTCGTTATCTGACTGTGGTGTCCAAGGCAAAACCTGTCTGCCCCAATCCTGATCTGTGCAGGATCACAAGAGTCTGAGTTTTGGAGCATTTGACCTTTTCAGTTCACTGTCCTTGTAGCAGAGCTAGTTACTTCATCGAGCTGGAAAGAAGAGTATGGATGAGATCTGCGTGGTGCAACAAAGTGTGTGCAAGCCCCCAAGTTACGTAACATAGTGAAATGGGATGGCATAGTTCGTTTAAATACCTTGTGAGGCTGAAGAGAGGGCAGAGGCATGTCTCCGGTCTGAGTGCTTTTGGCAAGTGCACGGAGCTCCCCGCAGGGACGAGGGTTGGTCAGAGCTGCCCAGTTTGCTGTGTTGGTGAGGCATGGGGGGCTGAGGGCAGCAGCAAAGAGCGGTGCCCCGGGAGGACATTTCTGCGCAGGAGCCAGTGCAGTCTGAGCTGGCGTGACCCGAGGCTGGGTGTTTGCGTCTCAGACCGCAGGCACTTCTGACAGCATTGCTCTGTGGAGTTGTGGTGGTTGTTAACTTTTCCCGATCCTCCGAGGTGTGTGTTAGGTCTGTAAATAGGTCTCTTGAAAAATTGCTCACTCCTTTCCCCCTCCCAAGTTCAGGGGGCTATAATTACAGGAATTAATGTTCCCACTTTTTCTTAAAACTGTGGGTAGATGGTTAGCTCTGCACAGGCTGTTGGTTTAGTTACGACGTGATAGTTACTGACATGTCTGTAAATAGCTGCGCTGCTTCATTTCCCCTGGGACTTGAGTCAGTGGGCACTTGCAAATGCCCCTTGTCTTTTCTCCCTGCCCGTGGGTATCCACTCTGCTCTTTGTTGCACAGCTCCCTCACCAGCTCCAGACTCCATTGGATTTTTAAGTTGAGTGAAAACGTTTCAATTCCGTTTGCGATTTTAAGAGCCTTGGCACAGTATACAGTTTGTGGGGTGAGCCAGCAGCTGGCAAATGTTGTGGGAGACGGCTGGCCCTTCTGCTGTCCGGACTCAGTGAGTCCTCTCCAAGTACATAAGCATTTCCACGTACTGAGAAGCTTCAGAAATGGGGAGATGTCCCCAGCATGTGGGCACATCTGCCAGCTCTTTCTCCAAGCCAGCAGCAGCTGATGGCTGTAGCGATGCTGTGATCAAACCTGAATATAGCTGGGAGGGAGTAAGGCCAGTCACACCCCTTTCCAAAGGAAAAGAATTTTTTTTTTTAGGTGCAAAATAGGTGACTCTTTTTTGCAAAATAATGTGACTCTGTTCTGCCAGGGTGGGTCTGATAAGGGCTGCTGGATGATGCTCCCTGACGATGAGGGAGTGTTGCTCTGCAAGGCCTGCTTGGCTCGTGACACTTGCAGTAATTCCTGTAGCGTGAGCACTTGCCCACCAAAGGAACCTGGTAACACCATGTTTACTGGAGCTGGGTCCCCAAGTAGCCGTTGATAACAATAACATTGGATATTGGCCAGTTTGACTGCCAGCAGTCGGATGAGGCAGCAGGAGCCACGTCCAGCTGCTAAGCAAGTGCTGTGTGATTTAACCAAAATTGTTAGAGCTGTCACAGAAGGCAGCGTATCAGCCTTGGAGCTGCCAGTGCTGGAGACGTTTTTTGCTTTCGGCTTTGCATTCCTCTGCCGTCATATTGCAGTAAAGGCAGACATGTTGGTGCCTTGTGTTCTCTGAAAGAAAGAAGGGAAAGATGGAGTCCGCGTGCTGCCCCAGCAGCCCCCTGCCCCCAGAGAGCCCTCCCGAGACCTGCGCCGATGTTCTGGGTCTGCTCTAGGTGAGGTTCCCAAACGCGCTCGCAGCAGCCTTAACCCAGCAGCGGGGTGAGATTGCTCCGGCCAGTCCCCGGTCCTCCCTGCCTGCTGCTCCCTG